TGGATCACATGGAGAAGTATTTTCCCGACTACGGTATGAAGAGTATTAAATATTATATCCTTAAGTAAAATCGTGACTTTTTGCGTCAGCGTGGTCAGGCCAGAAAAGCTTTATTACTAAATCATTAAAATTTTGTTAATAGAATTGGATCTAAATCGTTTGCGTTTAACATTTATATGATTTTCTTTTATGCTCATGTACGTGATTTATATTTCTTGAGTGATCAAAATCGAGTAATTCATGCTCTAAGTTTCGTTATCGAATTTTGTTTTGACTTTTATATTTCTGTACCAATGGTGTGTTATAAATAAAAAAAGATAACATTACACTTGTGTCAAAGATGCTATTGTATTACTGATACTTGATTTGATAACTTTCAATGATACAGCATCATTCGGATCCACTGGATAAGCAAGGTTGTACAATCTTTTATTATTCATATTATACTGTTTATCGATTATTAATTTAAACCCATTACCGGGTGGACCACAGACAGCACTTTTTCGTGAATCATTGTCCAACTGACGTCCAAAAATGTCTACACTCATCCTCACTCTTCAAGAGACAATTGGTCAATGAGCAATGATATTAAGCATCTGATTAATATATGATTCCAGCTTCACGCAGTTCCTCAATAATCGATGTATTTTTATCGTTATGGCTAAAATTACTAGGAGCACGTTATAAAACAAGTAGATGCAATCGTTCAACAAGTTCATTGGGACCATCTCAATTAACACAGTCCTGTGGTCGATGATGATTTATCATATATTGTGAAAACCTTTACCACTTTTCGGTAAATATTTGCTGATAATATTCTGATATTTGTTTAAATATTTATTCTCTCTGAGACTTGTATCAGGGTGATAACGTTTATGATAGGCGTAAGTACTTTTTAAAGTTTGTCCATAAGTTTTTTCGTCACCATGGCAAAGAGTTTTTACTAAAGACGCAAATTTAAATGAAAGAGCTGCTTTATTAGGAGTTACTATTATCATGAAGAAACCCCTGAGACAGATTGTAAATTCTGCAAAATTAATGATGGATTTCAGTGCAGATCTCATAAAATCTGCATTGATAGCTGCACGGAAAGCAGTAAAAACAATTGGTGGAAAAAAAAATGTTCAAGTTCCTCGTGTATTACCTGTACCTACTAAAATTAGCGGTGTTCGACCACTTATACCGATATTTGCTGGTCTAAGTGCAATTGGAACTTCAGCTGGTGGAGCTTCAGGTATTGCAAAGGCAGTTAATGATGCTAAAGTCTCTCATCGTCAATTGGATTAAGCAAAACGTCACAATCAGAAAATATAAGCCATAGCCTTAGGTAGAGGTCTACGTTTTAAACGTCGAAAACAAGGATACGGTCTATATTCGAAACCAGCGGGAAAAAAACATATAGAGCTACCACATCGAGCAATAACAAACATCGATATTTTGAAGTATGCAAAAATTCTGAAAATTCCATATTTTCATGAAGTTTTCATGAGCAATGATTTACCGAAATCTAAACCATAGAAAAATGAGTCAGCTAATATTAACCTTGATGATAAAAAAGGATCTTGAACTCACTGGGTGGCATATAAAAAACGAGAAAATAAAGCAATATACTTTGATATTTCCGGTAATTTGAAACCTGCATCTGATTTAAAACAAAATGAATCATTAAAATCTGAACCTGTAGATGTACGAATTGATTTTGAGTCTACAAAACCGATAATATATCAGCGTATTGTTTGAATTGTTGAATACAAACCTTTGAGTGGACAATTCAGATACCGAAAATACACGTAATGCATACATGGAATTATGCTTACAGAGTGACCAAACAAGGATGTTGAGAAGAAGCAGCTCGAGACAGAGCAAGATTTAGATTACCGATAGAAAAATATGATATGATCATTAATATTAATAGTATTATTAAGAAAAATTGATTGTATGAATAGAATAAAATGATTTATGTAAAAAGTTGTTCTTATTTTTCATAACGTGTAAATATATCACAAAATATTTTTTTTTATTATTCATAATAAATTTTTTTGTTAAAAGTTTGATGGCTGTTGGATGGACCTCGAGTAATTTGTTGGTTATTTCAGAAATTTTCATTGGTCTGATTTCTAATTTTTAAAATTCAGTTGAGCGATATTGTGTTTATATGAGCACAATATCGACAAAACAATGCTATTTTTTTTAATTCACTCGCCATAGCAGCACCACCGGAATCGGTAAAATTACCGACTGCATATTAATACAGCACCATCTAGCGGAGAAATCGAAAACTTAAACCACGATCGATTCGGGTGGTAAGTTACCGGTTGGTAAAGAGCTGTCCTCAGAAGATAATTTAGTATGGACTTAAACCAAAATAGCTCAGACACAAACCTCGATCTGGTTTCTCTACTTACTTGTCTACTTTGCTGCTTACAAAGGTAAATTTATTGATAAATCGATAGAAGTATAGAAGTAACTAATATTACCGATTCTCTAGTCGCGATCCAAATCTCTTTCGATGATGATGAATTGCTCAAAAAAACGATCCGTTCAATATAGTTTTTGGCGATAATTACAATCATACACGCGAGATTTCTTCGCCTAACTACTCTATTCACAGGATGTAAAGGAGAGTTTTTTATTTGTTACTTTCCAATATTATTACAATACATAATTTGTTAATTGTCTCATTTAATGATAGATTTTGAGATTCCGATGTGATAATAAAAATTACAGATTTCTGACTGGCTCCACTTAACCCTAATGAAAATTTAATTGCTTTGATTGTAGCGATAAAAATTTTCATTTATGCCATCGTTATTTATCGAACGTCATGATTGATATAGATAACATTCGCAAAAATAAAAAATTGAAAGCAGTTTTTATAGCGCGATATTTAGAAAGTAATAGAGAAGGAAAAAATTTATCTTGGCCTATCAACTTTATACAAGAACTTAGTGTCCTATTTCAGTTCGACGTATTTATGTAAATCGACATTTGCCAACATGAAGCTTATAAAATTCCTCAAAAGAAACTCGCTGCTTGATTGCAATTTAGAAAATGTCCTTCGCATCACTCTGTCATCATACACTCTCGACACAAAAAAATTAGCGGTTTCAATGTTCGCGCGTGATCAACGCGAATTTATGAAAAAATAAAAATACCTATCCTTTCCTTTATTCCTTCCCTGATGGAAGAGAACTACCTCCTCCTCGTTAGTCTAGTTAATTTTAAATTGCTCATGAAAAAAATGCTTTCAATAACAATTATGCCTACTGAACGATTGATTTTTTAATAATAAACGATGCTCTTTCGAATGATGCATCTGGAAAAAATTATAAATTTTTTTTTTTAATTGTTTCTTAAACAATTTCGTTTCTATTAACAATTTTTTCTACTAAGATAGCCACTTTATAGAGCGGGAAAAATCCTATCTGCTCCTGAATTGGCTATAAAATGTGCCCATAAACAAAAAAAATATAAGAGTGCGAAGTTCACGACAAAAAGAAAAAAAAAAAGACGCTTCAGATAATATGAAAAATCGAAAAATTCATTTTTTTTTTTAATTTTAATTGGAAGATGTTCAGAGAACGATTCTGAACATTCCAGAATTTTTTCATATGTTGGAAATATATATTTCTTTTAAATGTTAATTCAAAAGGCGTTTACATAAAAAAGCAAATTCCATTAGATTTGCAAATGGAAATACGTATAATAATTATTATTCCTATGGTCTTTTTCTCAAAAAAAAAAAAAAATGATAATCAACCTTTTTGAAATAAGTACTGTAACTGAAGTTGATTCTGATATATACACATGATATAACTTACTTTACTACAGAATAATATACATCATCCGAAGATATGTACTGATGGATATAGAGAAACTTGACGAAAGCTATAGGATCTGTTAGGGAAACTGGGTTTTCCACTTACTCATAAACTAGGTAAAGTAAATTTTTATAATAATTACTATGTATTCCATTAAAAAAATGAGGAGTAATTCCTAGTTGACCATTTTTCCCTCCGTTGCTGAAAAATGAATTCTATGATTCCCATATACATAAATTAATATTTTTTTGACAAACCGGTCCAATCTTTTTTCTCATTTTAGGACAATTGCATCAAGTGCATTCAATTCTCAAGGATATAGAATCTACAGCCTGTTGATAACTCCACCTGTAAATTAGAAAAATAATTTATGTTCTGAAGATGGTGATTTAGGATATAACTTGGTATTAATTTTACCTTATTCTTTGAAGGCCTGAAGTAATCACTTGGAATCTACACCACTAATGACATTAATAAGATATAACTTAACAGAAAAATGATTTTAAACATATTACAATGTAACTTACAAAAAATTTCACCTCAATTTTGCATCATATTACCCAAAAGTTTGAATCCGAAATTGGTTAATTTTTTTTGTGTATTACGCCTATTTTTGTATGCTTTATAATCGTATTTCATCAATTTGACAACATGAAGTAATACTGTAATATATAATAGATATTATTAAAGTTACAAGAACAACGCAAACTTATTCATTAAAAAAAATTGATAATACATTACTTACATCGTTTTATTGGTGCAGAAGAAATAATTTCATTACATCAACCCGCGTTTTCATTATGAGACGTATTAGTTGAGCTGCTTGAGCCTTCTTCATTATTTATGTTCATCATTGAATTTGGTATGTTAAGAGATGGTGTTGGAGTCTGTCGAATTTCAGTGGATGTAACTGGTTGTTCGGCAAACGCAATGCTTCTTTTGCATTTGTCGTTGAGCGAGATTGTTGCACGATATTATATTGTTTATAAGATGAAGTTAATGTTGTATTCCAATTAATGTTATTTTCAGAAGTTTTTGTTTCAATAAATTGTGAAGTGTTTAATAAAACACTTTCAGATATTCTACGTAGGTTTATAATTTGTGGATTGCAGGAATTGCTCAAATCCAAGATATCGTAAGAATCAGTAGTTGGTGGTTGATACGTATTCCATAATCACTATGAACTATGTTATGTTGACTTATGTAATTATTAATGGAATTTGTGGTCGAAATCATCGAATTGTTGTTTTGCATAGCAATACATGTTCACAATTTGAAAGTGCCTTATTTAATGCTTTACTAAATACTGTCAGTGCAGAAAGAATTAGTACAACACCTTATCATTCAGCTTCTAACGGTTTAGTTGAAAGGTGGCATCGTACACTAAAAACTGCTTTGATGTGTCATCCCAACATTCCATGGGTAGATATACTCCCATCAGTATTACTTGGTTTACGAACTGTATACAAAGAGGATTGAAAAGCTTTACCAGCCGAGTTGCTGTTTGGTACTACATTAAGAATTCCTGGAGAATTTTTCGTCCATGAAAACCTGCCGGGAAATCCTGAAAAACTTATCGAAAAACATTGTGAACTGATGAGAACAATTCGTCCAACTCCTACTGCACACCATATCAAAAGCAGAATATTTATTTTGAAGGACCTCTACGAGTGTTCACATGTCTTTTTACGTGTATGTGACGTGAAACCACCTTTTTTACCTCCATATGCGGGACCATATCTAGTTAAAAAAAGAATAGATAGAAAATTTGTCATAGTGACAGATGGACAAAAGAAGACGATTTATGTAGATAGGTTAAAGCCAGCCTTCATAGCAAAAACAGATAATCAAGATGATCAACAATTACAACCAGAGGATATCATACGACCACACCGACAAGGAGATATGGAAAAACCTGTAGAAACATATGAAAGAAGGAAGAAAAACGTTACTTTCTAAGTACAGCGCTGAAGCAGGCGAGTGAGGCGCCAAGAGTAAGCAGCGGCGAAAAGAGACAGCTATACGTGTAGAAGTGAAATATATATTTGTTTAATTACTTAAAGAAAATAATAATTTAAATTTTATAAATAAATAAACTAAATTGTTTGAATAATTGTTCTTATTCCAAGAATCCTCCTTCCCTCTGAAAAAGACTAAAATATATAGATATAGTGTTCAGTCAACCAACTGACAGATTTCCTAACCACTCAGGTTAGGTGAAGCCCCCGAATCATTTTTATTGTGACATGGCACTACACAAAATTCTTATGGTAGTGCCGTAGAAAAATTCTGAGAATCCCGCATCTATCCTTCGATTTTTTCCTCTACAAATTAAAATTCGAAATACTATCTATTAACTCTACGAGCCAATTATCAATCGAGACGTCAGCACCTAGAGAATTTCTGAGCCGATCACAGAGGAGTGAGTGACCAATCAAAATTTGGGAGTGATAGTCCAACCTTTCTTTTTGGACTTTCACGAGTTGCACTCTATATCTCGAGAAAAGAGTACGCTTTTTTTTCTGAGAGTGTATACTTGAGAAAAGAAGAGTTTTTAAGCATCAATTAGCTTCGCGTTAGTGCAATACTATTTCAGAAAGTTATAAAGGCTTCAATTGAACTACCTGTTCCAGCTCAAAGTGCAATTTTTTCAAGTCAAGCGTGAATTTGCGAAGTTTTAAGAGTGAATTATCTAAACTAAAGCGAGTGTGATTTTCTAAAAAAGAGACTGACTGGTGCAATAAACCTTAAATAAATTAGTTTATTTTCTTTAAAATTAATGAGTTACGAGTTTTTTTTTGTTTTGTGATCCTTCCTCACATTCCGGTGTTCAAGTTAATTTTCCTTTTGAGTTAAAAATTCCTTGGCTTCACGTTTCATATAGATTCAGTAGTGAACCGAATGCGAGTTTTAAAAATCGTCGATGGTCGAAAGTAAACTGGTCGGGAAAAGCATATAAAAACGAGGTCTGTGAGGCATTAAGAACATTCATTCCCCGGGTGGAATAAGAGTAAGACTCTCAAACCATCATTACTATAAAAGTGAGTGTTATATACTACTATCCTGATAACCCCTAAGACTCGTGTTAGACACGGTCATTCCGAGAACGCTAGACGTTCTTTCCCGCTGCGTTTGTCGTCTTGCGAGTCGGAAACTTGCTTGTGATCCGTCCTGAATAAATAACCGTTCTGGCTATCGAATGAATATTTATTTCTTTCTCTTATTCATGAAGAACTAGCCGTTTGCTTTGTTTACTTCAAAAATTAAATTTCATTATACTTTATATCATCAATAGTCTTGTACATTGATTTAATAGTTAAATTATTAAATCAATTATGAATATTCAAAATCTATTTTTTTTGTAATAAATTGTTCGTTGTAACGTCTTGGGCTCTTCTCCACCTTACCAACAAATACTCATACTCAGTTACGAGTTTCAGCGTTCCACCACCTGTAGAGCTGACACATGGAATAGGCGGGAGAATCGAGCATTAGAAGGGGGCATGGCCACCACGAGTGAACCAGCCGGCGTTCCAGACGCCACTCAGCTCAAAGGCGCCAAAAGCGACGTATCAAGTCATCTGGTAGCAGCAAGAGCTATTGCCAAAATACGGCTTCTATGCGTAGTATACGATACTCGCATAATTAAGTGTCTACGTGTAAAGTCTAGTCTAATTATCAGACAGATAGTCACAGTTACTAAGTCCAATAGTCAAGTTTCAACATGGTTGTAGAAGATATTTAAGTCTGGCGAAGAGAACCCCGAGATCGGCAAGAAGCCATCATTCAGTCGTCGAGATCTCCACTACGTTCCAGAGACAACGCACGAGGTCATCCTGAAAAGCAGCCTTCGCAGTCCTGACGGGAAAAGTCATGTAAGTCCAGCAATATTCAGATGCACGTGTGAGATTGGCTGACTAGTGTGACTATAGAAACAATTGCAATAGTCTCTCTTTGGGTTGTAGTCATTGTATAACCTTAAATGGCAAAGTAAACAGATTGTAGTTTACAGTTTTCCCTTTATTAATTGGGGGACCTAGAGTCCTGTTAAACTTGTACCCCGCGGTTGTAAATCTCATAATAATCTTTGAATTATATAGAGTCTATCGTATTCTTAATATTATATTGTATAATCTTTTTGTAAGTCAAGAGTGCATCAAGGAGTTCTTCTATTTGTATCTTGTTGCTTGAAATCGTTTAAAAAAAAGTAATTTATGATATAAATAGTGCCACATTGGGAGGAACCTTACCGTTATCCCATAGTTTCCCGATTTGTTTGCCACAAATCACCCGATTAATTTTGAAGTCATTAGTACCTCTAATTATCGGTTTGCCACCCTGGCATGCTCTCACAATTTGACTTAAAAACTTTATAAACCGTTAAGATAGTTGGTGATCTATAGAGTCACCCATCCAACAACCTACTTCGGGGAAGTTTCCCTCATTAAATAAAAGATTTCCCCACCGAGTTATATCTCATCGTTAATTCGAAAAAACACGCTTGATCAAATCATTTAAATATTCTTAAGTTTTGAAGCTTTCTAGTTTATTGACCTTTCCGGAGAATGTTGGAAACTGACGAGCGAGTAGTAAAATCTAAATTTTTAGTTCTTAAAAATAAAACCTTTACAATTTTTCCTCGTTCTTTTAGAAAGAAGTTGGTTTCTTGAAATCCCTTAGTTTTGAATGAATCTGTGGATTGTGTGAAGAAGAACTTGTTGGTGAGAATGCTGTCTAGGCTAGTGGTTGCTTTAGCGAGTCTATCAGCTTTGTCGTTTTCTGAGATTCTAGTGCGTGAAGGAATCAAATGGATCCCAAATGTCTGACTAAGAGTGCTACTTTTAATCCTGTTACAGATTTTAGCAATGTCTAGGATATATAATAATATCAAAGATCCATAATCCATTACAGAACAAACAAAACTTTTGTATAGCGCCAGAAGAGTTACTGAGTTGGATCCCCACCATATGCCACGTAGATACTTGATGATATTTAAGGCACGATGACATTTGTTTGAAAACCAAACGTCTCTTTCTTTGTCCTGATTATGCGTCGATCATAGACTCATGTGCTGGTACAATTATCATGAAAGTAATAAAAGTATCAACAGATGAATGTAAACTAATACTTAAGTATACATGAGAGTACTTGAAAAAGACTCTCAACGAAAATCTTATACTAAATATATTAGTTAAAAATTTTAGTCTTAGCTTCATCATTTTATCAAAAATAAAAGAATGGTTTTCATGTAACAGTATAACATCATTTTTTTGAACACAGTTTTTTCCTTGACAAAAGCTACATTGAACTCGGTGAAGGATATGTTCTTATTTCCCTGTCCTGAGAAGGACATTTTATTTGAGTACCTCGCCTTATAATGCATAACTCTAGGAATGGCTCTACTTCTAGTGACGGCGTTACTTGATATTTTCGCGCCTTTAGAAAGGCACGAGGATACATGCATCTAGCCTAAGATCTTACGACATACTATTACAAGTTTAACGTCAATTGACCAAAAGCACATGGTTTTACATATCGTTTTTCGACTTTGCCCATTTGAATCAGAAAAAAACAGTTCTCGACAGTGTGATGAGCATTGAATTCTCCCATAAAAATACCGGTTCTCCGACCATAAGCATTTTGAGTTAGTGAGCACCACTGCTTTGTTGTTATCGTGCGACCTGGCTGCCTTTAACAACAAAGATATCTAGAGGTGGGGATATATTACTAACCTGTAAACCACATATTTAGACCGATTGATCGGGTGGAGTAATGTCCCCTAACTACACAAAAGCGATGTTCTTGCGAATCAGTATACTACCTCCAGCTTTGGCGTAGGTTCTGTCCTTTCTGTAGAAGATAGATTCTGGGCAAAAAAAATTGTTTTCAGAAGTTGACCATGTTTCTACACATACAATGATGATTAGATTAGTACTAAGATAAAGGATGTCTAGATGACGTAGGTTAATACTTCTCGCACTCCATAGAAAAATTCGAAAAATTGAGTGGTGATAGAAGGAGTACCCATCGTTACAGTAGAACAAATTCAGTGTTACACATAAAAGGAGTCTGTTTCTATTTATTTTACATAGTGAGCAACTTTATTTCAGGAGAGAAAAAGATTTTACGTTAGAAAAACTAGACACGGTTAGTAACTCTATTCTAGTAGAAGAAAAAATTACGCGTTGGGAGAACTTGAATCCATTAAATAGATCCAGTTTTCTATTGCTTATAAAAATTTGATTGTTATAAATAATTTACATTAAAAAAAAGTAGCCAGTAACCTTTCTGACACCGCTCTTTACATGTATGTAAAATTTGGTCGCAATCGGATGAGCCGTTTCGGAGATTAGTGCGGACAGACACCAGAAATTTACATAGTGGCATAGATATAGAAGAACGGGAGACGAAGAGTTGAGAGTTTATTGCATTGTGTGATCACTAGGCTGGCTAGAAAAGATTTCTGTGTCTTCCAACTCTATGTCACTGGTGTCAAAAGCGTAGGCTTCAGACATTTCTCCATGAGGACTAACTGAGCAGACTCGAGCTTATTGATAAGTCTGGTAAACCTATTTTCGAGATTTTTGGTAGGAAGGTTGAGGTTTTCTCATCATAGAGACTAGTTTCGTCAAGTCTAGTTTAAATCCTTGCTTCCTCCGTCCGAAGGACGGAAATCAAGTACCTCACCTACTAGAGCATCCCTCCGGGAAGTTATAAGTCTACTCATGACAATCTCGTAAATTTTTAAGCTCTTTCGATTGGAATTTCAGTCTTAGTCCAAAAGCAGCATGAAAAGCCCCTATGCTAGTATCCATTAATTTTAGAAGAGTTGAACGAATTTTTTGATAGCGGTATCTCGTAGAGGTTAACAAGAAGAACATTTGTGCTAAATCTCATTGTTTGGAAATGATTTTTACTATTGTTTATCAACAATTGAAATTTGGCAAAGTGCATTTCTT